GAGAAAGACGTAGGTCAACAGACCGACGCTTATTTAACAAGTGTAAAACTGCGTTTAGAAAGGTATCGCACAGAAAAACAGTCCATTTATACCAAAATGGAAAGATCTATAGATGAAAAAAGCAACGCAATATCAGCAAAAGTTAAAGAAATTACGTCCAAGCAGGTGAAGACTTTAGAAGCTGAAAAGGAAAAGCTAGAAATGAACAAGATTTCCATTCAGAGCATTCGTGATTTTGCTCAGCAGCTCACAGAAACCGGTTCTGACATCGAGGTCATGACCCACTCTAAAAAACTCCAAACAAGAATCCAGGAGTTAGAGACATTAGAACCAGTCTTTGATTCTAAGATCACCAAAATAACATTCACACCAGGGAAAACAAAAATGGATGTTGTGCTACAGTTTCCGAAAATGCCTGAACCACGGCCGCTGTCCATCAAAACGGGGTCCATTACCGCCAAAACATACCAGGGTCCCTTGGATGCATATTTTGGAAGTTTGAAACAAAAGAGAACACACTGTCCCGAGCTTAAGAAATTTCAGAATGTCCCATGGCTTGACATGCCAGAGCGTACTACGTTTGTTAATGTTAAATGTCGGCCGTGGGATATGCAGTGCACAGATGACCGTTGTGTCTTAGTTGTCCATGGTATTACAGTGCCCGTATTCTCCAGGACAGGTCAATGTAAACGAGAGATCCGTATAGAGAGAGGGGGGAGGCGTATCGCTATAGTCAGTAACGATAGATTCGTGGTCACAAGCCATGATAAATGCTGTAGACTGTATTCAACAACAGGTCAGGTTATCCGATGTTTTGGTCAGGGTGATATGTCTGACCCCTGGGATGTCACTGTGGACCGTACAGAGGGTAAGGTGTACGTGTGTGATAGTGGTGCACAGTGCATCTGTGTGTACGACATGGAATCTTTTCAACTTGTTAACAGAATTCCTATCCCAATGTGCAGTAAAGGTCCACTGCGCTGTGCATACCACCACGGCATCAATGCAATCATAGTCAGCGACTACAGTGCCCACTGTGTGTATGCAGTGACACCCCAGGGTGAAGTCATGTTTCAATACGGAACACGAGGTCAGAGTGGAAGTGGAGACGGACAACTGAGTTATCCAGATGGAGTGTGCGTAGATAAGTTTGGACACATATTCATAGCTGACCGTAGTAATGACAGGGTGGTTGTCCTTGGTTCAGACGGAAGATTTCTTCGAAGCATTTTGACAAAGAATAATGACATTGAGTTTTCTGTGTCAGTCGCTGTCAACAGTTACGGGGAGCTTGTTGTTGGAACATGCCGAGGTGAAATATTCACGTATAAATATATAGCTTAGCAATGAATTATACAATTTGACAATGTAATGATGTTTGGATTGTAATTATTTTAAAATGTAATGAACACACTACAGAAGTACCTTAGAACCGTCATTACTATATATTCGTTAAAAAACATACTGAACGTGTGCGGGAATTCTAAATGCATCATGTGCGTAAAGGCATTAAATAATGTAATCAAATTTATCAATTTATGCACTTTAACCCTTCACAGATTAATACATAATTCATATAAGTCCATTTTTTTTTTACTTTATAGAATTTGGTTGTTAAAACTGGACTCAGCTTTATTTGTCTGTTAATGAAACTAATTGGAACCATTACTTTTTGCTGTCGTTTTCAAGTGAATATTATTTACAGGCATATTATTAATTTATCATATATATCAAGAATTATAAAGATAAGACTTCTGGTTATTGGCAGTTCTCTAAAAATACAATTTGATGTTTTAGAAATAAAACCAAATGAGTCTTGGTTATTTTGTCGTTATCATTATTATTTTTCTAAGAACTGAGATTCAGCAATACAAAAACGGAAGGGATCAGAACAATTTTGTTTGCAGTAGACTCAACCGTGTTGATGTCGATTGGGAAGTCGTTCCGGGCATTATTTATGAAATAATTCACACTTTTGAGGGGACTACGAGATCTGGACTGTGCTCTTATTTTTTAATGCTAGAAAAGTGTTCGTCCAAAGGACGCGCAGGCCTCTAAGATAGTTGGAGAAATGGATTGGTAGAACACACGGGGTACACACAGGGTAAAGTACATATACTGTAAAAAAACATTGTTTTTTTCACAGTATAAAAGTAATCGAAACACGCACCCTTCAAATTTTAGCGCCTATAAAGTTCACTCCTGTGTCCTTACTGATAGAGAAAGAATCACTCGTAGATTGTAGTCTGCTATCACGCACGCGCTCACGCACACTCTTGGAATGTATGCTGAGACCACAAACTTAACGTGTGTGCACTTGCAGGCACAGGTACACACAAAGAAAAAATGCATTCTGACAACTACGCTACATAAAATATTTTGATTTTTGCTGTTAAGTGTGAGTTCAACGTCCTCATCATCTGTTTAGGTATAAAGGAAACGACACTTACAAGTCACACTGGTCTTTCTGAACGAAGGCAACGGTTATAATAAAGACACTGCGAAATCCTCCCGTCCTCAGGGGCCTATGTCTTCCATTACCATAGTCTCAGTAACAACAAAAATCCCGTATATGTCAGATTGAACCACAATGGTCAGATAAAGAATACTGGGTACGGTAAACCTTCCACGGGGTTTGCGACAGGCAGTGATACTATTGCTTTGCGTCTCGCAGATGGAGACGAGGTGTGGATTTATTTGGTGGAGGCCACGTCCTTCATTACACTCCTGGGGAGTTCCACAGCACTTTCACTGGTCGCCAGAATTCCGCTGACGTTACCAGCTCTATCCAGACAACAGCAGCATTAACACCGTGGATTTCCGTTGACGTTACCTGCTCTATCCAGACAACAGCAGCATTAACACCGTGGTTTTTCGTCGACGTTGCCAGCTGTATTTTTTACATTTTGCAGGGACAGGCGGCGGTTTTCCCCTTCAGTATTGTTTACCCCAAACATATCAATTACCCTTGAAATGATTTTAACCAGTGGTCAAACATTGACCTACTAATATTTTGCTTCCTTGAATAATTATGATTAATTAATTTTCCCGGAAAATAAATCCAGACGCTTTTATCAAGATACATGTCGGAGCAGTTGTTGTCATATTAGTTTAAATGGGGAGCTACAGACCCAACTCAATGATCAAATACAAATAATCCAATATTCGATATATGTTTAGATTTATTGTCGCGAAATACATAAAATGCATCCTTTTTCGACAATTGAACAAAACGTTACTTTGGTATCGTTGAGCCTCTAAATACGTCAGTTTATCCATTTGCTTGCTAGCAATTGAAACAGTATAATTGATTTATTCAGATACTTTTGAGATGTTCTTCTTAAATCTATTTAAAGGGGGCATAGAAGCGATCCAAAGAACCAATATTAATTTTCTGAATAATCTATTCATAGGTTGGTGTATTGCCTCGATATACCGTAAGTCCTTCATTAGGTCTCAAGGAAGGTTGTTCTTTCCTGAGCGCATTGTGTTTCAGAAAAAAAAGCAGCAAGCGAGAACAGTCATTTGTGTTTTCAAGATAAATCCTACAGTCACTCCTGAAGGTATACCTCTTGCTATTGAGATATCAGTTGATAATATAATGGCAGTGGATTATTAATAAATGAAACACCATCCATTTATCTATTNATTGTAACATAGAAACAATTGCTTATTATCAGAAAGGGGGCACAGTAAAGGGAGATGAGGAGAAAGTCATCAAATTAGTGTACAGAGAGAGAGAGAGAGAGAGAGAGTCAGGCCAGTAGCCAGGGGGGGTTCGGGGGTTTCGAAAGAACTGCCCTTTTTGCTGGGAAAAGGTCCACTTTGGATAAAATTTGATCTAGGTACATGAAAGTTTTATGGTAAAAAGTCCACTTTTTCAGAAAACGAACCCCCCAATTGAAATTGCTGGCTACGGGCCTGAGAGTGATGGAGCACAGTATCCGATACCAATAAGCTGTCATCCATCACAGACAGTGATGGCAGGGACGGATTCAGAGATATTTTCTGACAGTCTTCCAAATTATCTTTGTTGATCCATCCTCCATTTTTGACCGTCTCCCGACAGAAAAAATCAGATACCCGTCAATGTAAACTTGAAAATCTGACCGTCTTCCGGAAGACCCAGAAGACGGCCTAAATCCGCCCCTGGATGGAGTATAGTACCAATACCAAATCAGCTCAGGGGTATAGATAATTACCCGCTAACAGCTTTATTAGGTGTGACAGATATTTAAGCAGTTTAAGTTGATAGCAATTTAGTGAGACTCTCTAGGGAGATAGATCGATCCAAATATCTGTGGGAATGGTCCCTAAGATATCAGCTAAAACATTGAAGAGTATAAATCCTGTTTTATTGCAAAATATTTGTGTTAAAATCCCTAATAAATTACAGTACCATAAAAAAAATGCCCTGTAGTATATGAATTTATTTGTACTTGACCAAATATAAAATTGACTTAAAATAAATTCCATTACATAAATAACTTAACATACAATAAAATATATAATTAAATGCAGTATATATTTTAAATGAACTTAAAAATTAAGAATAAGTAAAAGTCCACAAAAAATCAAAATAATCAATTTTTTTAAAAATCACTGTTATGTCCAGACTCACTGTTCCCAAAATCACTTGTATTTAATAAAGTGATCCCAATGTAATATACAGTGTCTGCCTCAGTGGTTTTATTTTCTGGGACAAACAGAACATAGCCACTGGCACTTTGGTTGCCATGATGATAACGCATCTCCTCAGGAACTGGGATAAGTGTAGTGCTGTTTAAGATCTAGGGAATCAATCAATTAGGGAAAAATTAAATAAGTACTCACATAATTTTATTGTAACTGATCATATTAATTAATTACTCACTGATTTATTACATTTTTACGTTATGCTTTTGAGGTGATTAAAGGGATAACAACTCTACATGTGAAATCTACATTTCACTATAAATACATAATTGTAAACAACTCACAGAAATATAATATATTTTATTTTATCACAAAAACGACAGTTATAGAAATTATTCTGAAATCTGTGCCTTGTGACCTCCATAGATAGCCATACTCTGTAATAATCTCTTAAGAGATTATAACAAAAAAAAACTTTTAGGAAAAAAAAGGGACTAACTTTGAATCAGAGATGGGTTCATTAACCATTGGTTATATGAGAAAATTGTTATGTACCACAGGATTATTCAATTTTTGTTCAAAATGAACAGTTGTTATCCTTTTAAATTTCTGCATACTTTTTGAAAAAAATCAAGTACCTATTCAATACTTATAATTCAACAATAACTGACCCCATAATTTACTTCAGAAAGAGCATATCTGTGAAAAAATATATTAAAAATTTATCATAACTCTTTTTTGGTTACACATAAATGCACTGACTAAGCAGCATACCTCTTCCTTGCTAGGCCTGGCATTGGCTTTCAGGTAAACTTGCAGGGTGGTATTATTGTCTACTGGCCAGATGGTGATCTGATGTGATTTGTTGGTCTCAGCATCAAACTTGAAGTAAATGACGTCCTCCATGGTTCCATTGGTCCCTCCTTCAAGTTTTAGGAGGGTGATACCACAGTTCATGTCAGCTTCTGTGAAAAAGAATGAAGGTTTTTTTCAAATCTTTTTTGTGGTTTTATTTAAATCTCATGTAAACTTGTTCCCAACTGAAGCTGTAAGCCAGCTTGCTACATGTAGCAGTATCTCTATAACCGTGTTTTAAACTTGTTAATTCAAAATCCAATACCTAGCAGCATGCCAAATTTTTTTTTACATACATGTAACGTGGAAAATATTTGTATAAAGTGTTTTGAGAGAATATGAAAGTAAAACTGAAATTTGAGGACAAAGTATCAAAAGTATAAACAAAACAAATCCCTTTCATAGAATATTTTGTAGCAACAAGTCACTAGTCTACACGACATCTTTTAGTTTCTTACTTCCAACAGGGATGTAAATATCCATTGGTTCTGGCAGCCAGGCAGGCTGGTACCTAGCACCATCTATAATCACTTTAATACCAGAGCAGCTGGAGGTGACATCTTGAGCTGAAACATCCCAGGTGAATGGATTCTCCGGCATGTAGAACATCTGATAAATAAATTAATAAATAAACACCCATTTTACTATAAGATACTAAAATATGCCTATGTTCAGGGAATCATATGTAAGGAGGGCTCTCTGAAAGCATTAACATTGTTAAATAAATGAAAAAATAAAATAGCATCAAAGAGGCTGTCTTTCATTACACCCCCCCCCCCACACACACACACACATAAACACACACTATAGTGATGCATGTGACATACTGGTATTCAGTAAAGCAGTTACAGACTGTGCCATTAACTTTTCAACCTACTGGCCAATCGGACAACCACTTTAATTTCTTAAATGAAGTGGTCCAAAGTGATGCATGAGTCCAATAAACATCAAAAAGACTTAATATTTTCTCTCTATTACAGTGATATCATAATAATTAAACCTTGTTTTTGTCATGTATTTTTAATAAGAATATTCATGTAACAGTAACTTTAAAAAAATTAAATCAAATCAGCAGCTCTTTTGAAAAAATCTTAAGCCCCTGTCAGACCACTAAATTCACACGTTCTGAAAAATCTACTGGTCTAATCAAAGTTTTACCATCCCTGGGCTTAGAACAATTGGATAACCTTGCAGATTGTGCAAGCATGTGAGCAATGAGCAGTTAAATAAACAAATAAATAAATATATAAACTAGAGGATCAGAGAGGCGATACCGCCTCCGAATATTGTACCACCAGCTGGATCAAGCCCATACGTATAGACCCCCACATACACAAAATAAGGGACACAGCTGTAAAAATGCAATCAACAAGAATTTTCAAAATATGCAAAAAATATATATGACTAAAAATAGTACAATCAAAGTTAAATTCATCGTAAGGTAGGTCAAAGGTCAATGTCAAGGTCACAGTAAATTGCCAGTATATGA